TGTCGGCCATCTGGATGTCTTCTCTGGAGAAGTGTCTATTCATGTCTTTTGCCCATTTCTTCACTGGATTATTTGATTTTTGGGTGTTGAGTTTGATAAGTTCTTTATAGATTTTGGTTACTAACCCTTTATCTGATATGTCGTTTGCAAATATCTTCTCCCATTCCATTGGTTGCCTTTTGGTTTTGCTGATTGTTTCCTTCTCTGTGCAGAAGCTTTTTATTTTGATGAGGTCCCAATAGTTCATTTTGCTTTTGTTTCCCTTGCCTCTGGAGATGTGTTGAGTAAGAAGTTGCTGCGGTCAAGATCAAAGAGGTTGTTGCCTGCTTTCTCCTCAAGGATTTTGATGGTATCCTGTCTTACATTGAGGTCTTTCATCCATTTTGAGTTTATTTTTGTGTATGGTGTAAGAAAGTGTTCCAGGTTCATTTTTCTGCATGTTGCTGTCCATTTCTGGGTTCTCTATTCTGTTTCATTGATCTGAGTGTCTGTTTTTGTGCCAGTACCATACTGTTTTGACGATTACAGCTTTGTAGTACAGCTTGAAGTCTGTAAGTTTTTATTTTTAAATGATATTTATGTAATTTCTTAGTTTTAATTTGAAATACAGGAAATATCGTATATAATTTACATAAACAAAAATTTTTTGGGATTGTCAATTTTTGTGAGTGTAAGTGGTTCTAAGACCAAATGATTTGCAAACTCCTGGCCTAGGGGAAGGTGATCGTGCCTGAAGGAAGGCACTCAGATTCCACTGAGTTCAGGTTCAGCCTTTTACAGGCCTGTCTGGCTACCTTATTGCATCTGGACTCCTATTATGAACAGGATATTTTCATTCACTGTGAAATTTTACCATACATTAAAAAAATTTTTTTTGGTATCTCTTAACTAATTGATAATATTTTATGTTATTTCTTTAACTGTATTATAAGTCTAGAGAATTCCTGTGTAGATTATTATTTTTAACCTCAGAATCTAGTATGGTGTTCTTTACATATCTAGAGGTTGCATAGTAGAATGGATTTTTATTAAATAAAACTAGTCCTGATCTTCCTTAGACTTCGTAGAACTGCAGAGGACAAAGGGCCCTTGGCCAGCATTCTGGTTTAGCTGTTTCATTTCATAGATGAGGAATCAGAGGTTTACAGAGCTGATGTGTCTTGTCTACAGTCAACCAGCTTTAGTCAATAGGAAATTGAGTCTGGTGACTTCTTGTCCTGCATCTTTTCCAATCTACCTTCCACCTCATCTTTTTTTTTTTTCTAGCAAACTTATTATGGGTAAACTAATAATGAATTAAGATACAAAATCAGGTTGAAATAAAACAACCTGATCTAGTGTCTTAATTCATTATCACAAATTGCATAACTTCTATTTTTTTTTAGTGTACTTTTATTTTTCAAATGAAAGAATCTTATATGTATTTGTAAAATAGCTTGTGGACAGCCAAGTTGAAGTTTAATACCTAAACAGACAAAACATTTACTCAGGATTCTCTTCCTGAGATTGTGTGAAAAGTCATGTCATCTCAGAGGAGAATGCAGGGGCTGCAATCACAGCTTAATGTTTGTGCTGCTTCTCTTAGTGAGGATGGCCGGGCCCTGCCCAAGCCATTTGCCATTCACTTTCAGACTCAGGAATTTGAAGTCCGGTTTTGGTCAACTTCTTCATTACAGTGTTTAAAATATCACTTTCCAGGGTCCCAAGGCCAAGCCTGTGGTGTCCTTCATTGCTGGTTTAACTGCTCCTCCTGGCAGGAGAATGGGTCATGCAGGGGCGATTATTGCTGGAGGAAAAGGTGGAGCCAAAGAGAAGATCTCTGCCCTTCAGAGTGCGGGAGTTGTGGTCAGCATGTCTCCTGCGCAGCTGGGAACCACCATCTACAAGGTGAGCCATGACAGTGACCTGAGGTCTCTGAAGTTATAGGCCTTCTAGCACGCGGCCACACTCACTGGGTGCCCAGAAACTGTGGCCCTTTCCCCTGGGTCTTATCTGTTGCTTTCTTTCTGGCGTACAACTCAACAGGCACCAACGGCTCCGTTAAGGCCCCAGTGTCCTAATTAGGCATGACCAGGAAAGAGATTCTGATTTTAAGACATTTAACTTCTTTAAACATTGCAATTTGTTCTTTTGTGAGGGGCAAACTATGATATACAAGAAAGTATTTCAGATTCCATAAGTGCCATGAATTCCATTTGGGGGTAGTACAGGGCATTGCCTTGCATTTCTTTTTTTTCATTGAGGGCCTTTGGGACATGGCTACCCTGATCTCATAGGTTTCTGTTTCTAGGGAGAGGGGTTGAAGGCTGAGTGACAAGAAATGAAAACTGGATGAGGAGGGAGTTAGTTGATGGGGAGCAGGGGAGGGAGATCAAAAGAAGAGGTGGGGGTTTCCAGATCTTGAGCATCTGGCCCTGGCTGTGTTGGGATGCCATTGTTTGCAGGTTGGAGGAGTACCTCTTAACCATATGCTTTGCTTTATCGTTTTAAATAGCATCTTGGTTTCAGATGTTCTGAATGATTTGTTATCTTCCATAATCTCTTTGCAATGAGTTTTAGCCTCTTTAAGTGATCATTTAAGGCTCTCTTTCTTTTTATTTTTATGACGGTTATAGCCTGGACAAAAAAAGCAAAGCAAAAACCAAACATTTTAAACGTGTTGAGAACAGGCAGCAATTGTATTCCCAGGAGGGAACCATGTTTTGGCTCAGTGTTTTCTGCCCTTGTTTTAGGGGTAATTAAATGGACTCCTTGTTTTGTTGAATCTTTGTGTTATCCTGTCTTTTGAAATAAGACACTGTGTGCTACAGTTCTGGGTGGTTAGTGAGTGTGTGAAGATGAAGTTTATTTAAAAGAGGGAAAAGCAAATGCTTACATTCACTTTTGAGACTTGCATTACCATTTTTCTCCAGTAGGTGGCAGCAGGCAACTACACATTGGTTTTATTCTAATTATTACAGTCTAGAGGAATGTGATTTTCTGTATTGTTTCCTTTTCAGATATTTCTGAGGTGCACTTGACATTCTGTTCAAACCTAACTGAATCTGCATTTAGTCTCTTTCTCAGAGAAACGAAGCAAACCTGTTTCCATTGCCTTATTAAAAAGGCCAGTGTGGTTCATGTATGGCATTAAAGGTTTGCATAAGTAGTTGAGTTTGTCAACTCTTAATAATAATACTGCAGTAGAAAAATAAGTACAGTTCAAAGCTGCTCAGCCTCTGTGTTTGGGAGACATAAAGTTGAGCCTCTGCATCTAGTTTAGTGAAATTCAAGCTGACACAGCCTAATTTGAAAGCTGTTACATTGTGTTCAAGCACCTTCATCCTGCTACATTTCACTTCTGTAATTTTTGGTTGTTCAAAGGATTCTAAAGATAAGAGGTTTCAGAATCACTTTGACCATGAATGTGATTTGAATCTTAAATCTTTTTATCCCTTCTCTCTTCTGTGTCTCTCTGTTTCTGAAGGAGTTTGAAAAGAGGAAGATGCTATGAAAGGAAAACCAAGAAGTTGCCTAAACCTATGGAATGAATCATTATGGAAAGGTTTCCATCGCATCGTATAGCAGACAGCCAATAAAGCTACCATTTGATTTGAATATGGTTTTGAAGCTTTTTATTGTTCCGATGAGGTGGGTGGGGAGGGTGAGAGAAGGGGAGGTGTGTGTGTGGGGGGGATATTGTGTGTGTTTTAACAGACTCTGTGGAGAACACTGTAACCAACTTTTGAGAGAATGAGGCTGTAAAAATTTCAGTACGGCATTTGTCTAATTATCTTAGACCCAGAGTAACTTTAGTTCTCTTTTGAATCCTAGTTTTCTCATGTATATATATAGTACTACTATCTTTCAGGATAGTTTTGAGAACTAGAGCATATATAAAGGCAACTTACTTGTTGTCAGTGCCATTGTCATCATCATCATCAGGATTACAGGCAGAAGCCCATCTTTGTTTCGCTTGAGAGGTGGAAGGTCTTCAATAATGCTGTGTTTTCCTGTGGTTCTGCAGAGGGCTGTCCCCTTCCCCATCCAGAGCCTACTTCCCTTTGCTTGTGAATTAAGACATCTGCTGCAAGGAACCAGGACAGTGGGTAGCCATCCTATACTTTTGTTTAAAGGGGAGCTTGTTAACAAGGAGCAATTCCAGTGGATATTCTCAAATTGTGTAACTGCCCTAAAGGAAAACAAGAGCTGCAAAAATAATATTAGGGAGGAGCCCCTGAAGAAAGACTGTGGGGAGGCCTTCCTGCGGAGGGGCTAAGAGTTGGGACCTGGAGGCTGAGAAGGTACCAGCCACGCAGCAGGCCTAGAGCCCAGGCAAAGGCAGGGAGACGGGAAGAGCTCACCTTGAGGAGGCGAAGGGACACTGGTCTTTGGGGGCAGTGAGCCCTGGGAGGAGCTGGAGAAGATTTTGGGGGGGCTGGGGAGACAGAGGTGCTTCTGGCACTCCCATGACCGTGCCCAGGCTGCTGAGGGCACAAAGAGCAGAATTTTTTTTTTTTAAATCTCAATACCCAGGGTTCATTGTCTTGCCACTTTGAAGAATGAAGAGGTGGACACAAAATAAAATGAACAGTGGGCAAAGGTTTTCAGAGTTTAAGATTAGAAAGTAAGAACAGTATGGAAGCTCTCTTTACAGAGAGAGGGCATTCGAAAGTGAATGCCCGCAGACTATAGGCAAGGGTCCTTGTTTTATAAGGTTCTGGTTGGCACCCCCTCCCCTTCTCCCTTGTTCCTTCTCAGGTTCTGCCCTCATTGGCTGGACAACTCTAGGTGCTGGGTTGTCTATTCCCGATTGACTCGATTCCATCGTGTGAGGAATCAGACTATGGTCATACTCATACTGTCCCTCATATAACGTAAGTTTCGTGGTTTGCTTATTTTAGTTAGGTATCTTGATTGTCAAATTCCTGAGGGGAACCTGAGGGGGAGTAGGTGGTATCTGTTAACATTCTTAAGAGGAAACTTACACCTGAGGGGGTTTGCTGTGGTCAAATCCTCCCAGCATTGTTCCAAAATACGTGTTTTCCCCCCTGCCAGGGACCTCAGGTCCTAATCTTTCCCTCTATTTTATCCTATTTTTCCCTGTCATAGATGCAGGAGAGCAGTCAGCAGTTTATTGCATTAATGCTGCTGAGGGATGATGGTTTCTTGGACCAGAATGGTGGCAGGAGAGGGAGAGGAGGGTGGCTGTTCAGGTTGGAGAGATCTGTCAGGAATGAACTGGACTGTACCCGGTAAGTCATCGGACTTAGGGGGTAAGGATGAGAGGTGAGACAGCGCATCAGTTTCCAGCTTGAGCAGCGAGACAGCTTGGGCCCTGGCTTGATAGAAAAGGAGGAAACTCAAGATGGGGTGTTGAACTTGAGCTTTCCTCCCTGTGACAATGCCAAGGAAGCCACGGCAAATGGAAGTCTGGGCACCCTGGTTTGTCTTTGTGCACGAGTCACAGAAGCCACAGGTATGTTTAGAGCATCTAGGGAGAGGGAAGAAAAGGCCTGGGCCGTCCAATCTCTGAGCATTGCTATGCCATCTGGAGGTCAGACACCGAGACGGAGCTCAAACCTACCAGCTACACCAAGAACGGTACAGCCTGCCTTCTAGAGGGCATGGCTATGAACTGGAGGTCTTTTTGATGCTGAATCCTCCTATTCAGAGTTCAGAGTAGCATCTCTATGATCATCCCATGAAACAGTCCTTCATTTCACACATCTTTGTGAGAATTTGGTGCCAGATTTCCTTTGGAAACTGTGGAGAGCAAATGCCAACTATGACATAGAAGGGGACGCCAAGGAGGGCTTTATGATCCCAAACTGTACTTTTGGGAGGAACAGAAACATTTTCTGTGGAGTATGAGGATTTACCAGGCTTTGCCTCTTTTTTCAAAGTGGCATTCATCTTAAATGTTATATATTTGAATTGCAAGGCCTAGGCTGGAAGTAGGGAGGTGAGGGAGCAAGGCCTTGTGGGGAATTTGGAAAATAGTGGAAATCAGTACTGATATAACAGAAAGCAGATGGGACTTCTTTTTTTTTTTTTTTTTCCAAGAGAAAGCTGAGAGGTAAATGGATGATAAAGTTAACTGGAAATGATGACCATTTATGACCCCAGATTCCTCGTTGAATCCAATGAATGCTATGGAGTCTGCCCGGAAATATATATCCCGCATCCCCTGGGTGCCATGTTAGAGCCCTAAACTTAAATTCTTCCCTGAGGCATTTGTCTTTTAATATTAAGCTCTTGGAAAGGGAACTTTACATGGAAATTACAGAGTTCATTGCGCCCTTCCTCCTTGAAGTCATTCTATCCTATTTGAGCAGCTCATACCTGCTGGCTAGAAAGATGAGCATTGGGAGGCCCCACGGAAGCCCTTTTACTTGTTTCTGACCTGGCTGGTTCATTTGGTCCTGTCTTCTCTGGGTTGTGACCTTCTGGCCCTTCATTTCCTACCTTGGTTCCTGGGTTTGTTCCTGGACTGGGCATTAGAACCTGTTCTCTCATGTATTTGAACTTTGGTTCCCCTCAGTGGATTTTGGCTTTGATATCTCTTTGGCTTTTAGCACTCCGCACCCTGGGTTGTCCCTGGTAGGCGGCTGGCAGATGGCACACTCTAAAGTGAAGCACCCGGGATCCGGAAGAGTGAGAAGCCATTACCACCTTTATGCCTGAACAAGCAAGGAGAGGAAGCTGTTTTCCCAAGGTGAGACCAGGAGCTGTGTGAGAGGGTCCTGGCAGGTGCTGTGGCCCTGAGGAGAGGATCCCAACCACTGCCTGAGTCAAGATCTGACATGGTAGAGGTGAGGGGAATGGATGCCCTGGTCTCACACCCCTCCTGTCCTCTTATCTGCCAGTGCGAGGACTGGCTGGACCCACCTGAAAGGCAGAGGTGGGCAAGTCCAGGTGATGCCATGCATAGTACAGCCTCCGGGGCGGGGCGGGGGGTGCGGTGCACAGAGCAGGGCTCGACAGGGCAGAGAAGGGTGGAGAAAGGATCCGGAGGGGCACATGGAAAAATCACAATTTTACCCACCCTGACTTCACACTTGACAATACCCTTGCCAGGGCAGCAGCAAGTCCCTTTGGGGAAGAAACTGGGGTGGAACTAGATACCAGGTACTGTGGCAGACCAGCATGGGCACATTTGGGGCAACACCTGATGTCCCCAGGGAAATCTTTAGTGGAGTTTTGCATTTTACTCTATACTGAATAGTATTCCCCAGGGGAAAGAAATAGTTAATTGCGTGCTCTCTGAACTGTTGAAAGATAAAAGGACCTTAGGTTTTGTGAGTGTCCCATGAGACAAGTGAGGCTGGCTTTAGGATGTTCTAAGAAGTGAGGTTGCTGCAGAAGGGCATCTTGGGGCCCAGGAGGTGAAAGGCCTGAAACCCAGGAGGGGAGAGGTCAGGAAGCTGGGTCAATGCAATGTTTTCAGAGAGTCCAGGACTCATGCTCTGTAGTCTCCCAGAATCTGGAGCAACTGTGCAGTTGTGAATTCCTTGGTCCTGGGCTGTTCTCTGGAAGACACCTGGCATAGGGCATTTGGCCCAGAGAACAGCAGGCAGGCCAGGACTTGTACCTGAGGCTCATAGGCAAGTGGCACTGGCCAGGGAAGAATTCTCTTTACATGAGTTGCAGACAGTTTGTCATTGTCCCTTGATGCCTGGATGACACAGAGTCACCATAACAGAAAAGATCTGACAAATATTGACCTAGCCTCATTTTGCAGGTGGGAAAGCTGATTCGGAGGTTAGGCCTAACATCACAACCAAGTTGGTGGCAAGACTGACATTTGAAATTTGAAACTGGTGCCCCTCCTGACTCCTGGCCTGTGCCTCACTAGAAGGGCATGAGGAGGGCACCAGAGCTGGCCATCACAAAACAGGGGAGAACAGGAGGTGCTTAGAATAGACAGCATGTTCAGGGAATTTGAACATACAGAAAAAGTTATTTAAGTAGTGTGAATATGACTATGGCCCACCTTCCTTGAGTTTTATATATTCTTTTTTTTTTTTTCCTTTTTTCCCCAAAGTTCATTTTTATTTATTCTGAGAGAGATAGAGAGCAAGCACGGGAGGGGCAGAGAGAGGGAGACAGAATCCCAAGCAGGCCCTGCGCACTGTCAGTGCAGAGCCTGCTGTGGGGCTCGAACTCACGAACTGAGAGATCGTGACCTAAGCAGAAGTCAAGAGTCGGATGCTTAACCAACTGAGCCACCCAGGTGCCCCTTAAGTTTTATATATTCCAGAAGTGGGTTAGGCTCACCATGGCGGGGGGTAGGGCTGGACAGTGCTCCGTGGCCATCAGATGGAGTAAAGCTGGAGAACCGAGCAGGAGTGAGAACCTGGTTTTTGGTTCCAGGGTCACAGAGCTAGACTCTTCTTGCTAATGAGCCGACCACTGACAATTGGGGTGGATGATTCAAGGTGGACTGGGCAGCTTTAGGATAAGCCGCTGGAAAAGGAACAGCAATTCCTTATCAATTTCACTTTATCAAGAATGCCATCGAAGTTCTGTGGGACTGGGTGTCCGGTGTCAGCCCTGTCAGATCTGGAATCGAGATTCGAAATTGCTCAAGATC